TTATTTTCAATTTTGAGAGCAAAATTAATCTTGAGAGCAACAAAGGAGGCCGATAAAGAAAAACATGCTAATAGATTTAAAATTAAATAGAAGGAAAAAAAAAGAAAGAGAAATAGGAAGGGGCTGCCGAATGATTCATTAACATGGCAATACTATTATGATATATTGTTTACATTTTGAAGCCTTATGAAACACAAACAGATATGCATAAAGAACAGATTGCGTTCAAGGACAAAAACAGAACAACAAGACCGGAATATAAAAAATATATAGACACGTTGTTTATATCAATGAGATTATGTCAAATTCAATAATGACGATAGAATTTAACTTCTCTCTTGCGTTATACCGAGTGCATGACATATTCATTATCACATAAGATCATCTTTCTGACCATGATAAAATCGAGCCTTCTGAGTTACTTGAGAACAAGTAAATGATATGTTAATACGGAAAATGCATAGAAGGCAAAAACTCTTGAACTATTTCACTTTAGTTAATTTGTGCATGATGTAAGAGCATTAGGTTATATAGATCTTCATAAACTTTCTATTTTGTGTTCCAAGATTGTGGCTATTATGATCATTTCCATGCCATTAATAAATTTCTTCTTTGAGATTGAACCAAACTTGATGCAATAATTTATTCATAAATGCATGTAATAATAAAAATCAAACAAAAATACTGAAATACAAAAAAAAAAAAACAAATAGATATACCGATGACACTATCAAATTTATTCAGGGTAAAAACATTTTTAACTTCCCCATAGCATTACACCAAATGAACGACATATTAGTTGTTGGATAAGATCACCTTGCTGACCATGATAAAACTTAACTTGTTGATTCACTTAAAAACAATTATATGAATTGCTAGTAAGTGAAATGCATGAAAAAGAATAACTATTGAACATTAGTTTGTTTTAGTCAATATTAGAGAATTAGGTTTTATACGCTTACGTATACTTTTTGTTTTTGTATTTGTCATGATCATTAATGCGCCAAGGATGAATTTCTTTCTCAGTTTAAATCAACTAGAAGTAGTAATTTGTTCACAAATGCATCCAGTGATAGAAACTAGATAAGAAGATTGGAACATAAAAAATATATAAACATATAAATTATCTCGATGAAATTATATTAAAATTCACTAATGATTAAAGAAATTTAACTTATCTCTAGTATTATACTAAATGAATGACATACTAATAGTTGAATAAGATCATCTTGACGACCATGATAAGAACAAATTTTTTTATTTAGTAGAAAATAATTAAATGAACTATGAATCAGGAAAATACATTAAAAGGAATTTAGGTTCAACATGCTTGTGTAAACTTTCCATTTTTGTATTCCAAGATCAATGCGCTCATATGATCATTGACGGACGAAGAATAAGTTTCTTCCTTGAGATGTAAGCAAATCAAAATTCTTAAATGAATGTTTAACTATGTACTAGATATAAAGGTAAAGAATTCTTGATAGTATCAGAAATTTAAGTTTTGGATTATGTCAAGATATTCCTTACCTTATATTTCAATGAAAAAGGATTCTAGCCAGAACTGTAAATACATAAAAGTTAAGTAAATCCACCTAACTCAACTTGGATAGCCTCAAGTGGTACCTCCAAACCTTATAAATATCTTGCGTAGTTTACAATCTTCAATTGCAATAATAGTATACTTACATCCTCTCATCATAATCTCCATTATCTTCTTCTCAATTTGTTGAGGTTATCTTTTGTTATTTTCAGTTTTAGCAATGGCAGATGAGAGGACATCGAGTAAAAGAAAAGGTCGTCAAAAGATCGAGTTAAAAAAGATGGAGAATGAAGCCAGTCTCAAAGTTACCTTCTCAAAACGTCGAAGTAGCCTTTTCAAGAAGGCGAGTGAACTTTGCACTCTTTGTAGACCAGATGTTGGCCTTATTGTTTTCTCCCCTGGAAATAGGGCCTTCTGCTATGGCAATCCTAATATCGATATTGTGATTGATCGTTTTCTTAGTATTGATGTTCGTTCAGCTCGAGATCCTGACAACGACAATGATACTCAACAAACAATCAATAGGATCACTAAGGTGTTAAAAACTTATTCGTTATCTTTTTTTTATAATATCTATTTATGATAATCTAAAAATTATCATGAGTTGTTAATACTTAAATCTATGACGTTACATATTATATTTTGAATTTTTTGTTAGAATTTCAAATCTTTAGCCTAATTGCTTATCTAATACTGCAAATAAATGAACATGTGTATATGATAACAGGCTCAAGACAAGGAGGAGGCAGCAAGGAAGCGAGGTAAAGAGCTCAAACAAAGAAGAAAAGGCTTGATGAAAGAGCTTTGGTATACGCGTTCAATGGACAAATTCAACCTGGAAGAGCTTGAAGTTTTGGATGCTGGTATGAAGGCCTTGTGGAATGATGTTGCCGAACTCGCAAAGAAGCTAAAGAAGGAACAAGGTAACTCGAGTTCTGCTGAGGGTTCTCCAAGGGATGATGGGATGTTTTACTCAGATCCAGCAATGAAGGCCTTGACTACTCTCCCCATGCCTAGTTTGCCCAGCAACCCAACTCATGAATATGCCCCCAGCAGTACTAATTCAACTCCTCCCCTGAGTAGCTTCTGTAACATAGACTCTGGCAATCCCAACATAATGATGATGGATAACCCGTCGAATGATTTAGGCATGGCGTTAGATCCTGTTGATGACTTGGAGGGCATGCCTGGAGATCTCTTCAACAATTTAGTCATGATTGAGTCAGATGATCCAATTGCAGCACTTAATGCAGGAGATAATCCATACACAATGTCTGATGCCTTCGGGAACCAAACTGCAACAATGGATATTAATCTGTCAAATGATCCAAATATCAGGCCTAATGAGTTTCTTAATTTGAGTACTATGCCTCATGCACCAAATGATCCAATTAGCACAACATCTGATGCTCTAAATATGATACGTATCGTGCCAGATGATTCAAATCTAGACTCAGTATTTGATGGCTTCACTCTAGAGATGCTATTTGCGGATCCACTGGATGATGAGAACTTCATTGTGGACAATCCAAATGAGGCGGCTAACGGTGATAATCCGGAAACAATGTCGCCTCCTCTTGCAGGGAATGTTCCAGGAAGCGACCAAGGATTTTAATGACTAAGTTTGTTGATTATCTTGAAAAGAATCAAGGGCTAGTTTGAAGAGTTTCAATATCGTGTCTTTTGTTTTTGTTTGTCTTGTCTTTCAAATAATGCTATGGGAATTTGGGATTTCAATTGACTTGAGTTTTGTATTTGCTTACTTTCAGGTGGTATTCTTGTGTGTGCGCGCGCGTGTGTGTTTTTTTTTTTTTTTATAAATGTTGTCGTTGTTAGTCTTGGATCGAGTTAATAAGTATATGTGTATTTCATGAGTGTTGTTTATTTTAAATTCTTGTTAAGTAATATTCTCTAAATCTTTAGAAATAGTTAATCTTTTATAATGGTCCTATAAAGTACATTTATATGATAGTTCTGTCTCTTTATATATATGTATGTGTGTGTATGTATATGTATGTATATATATGTATATATAGTAGTAACTTATCTCGTATTTCTTGTAAACTATATCTCGAGAGATTTAAAAGAGTTTAAAATTTGGTATCAACACTCTCGAGTATATGAAAATATTGAAGCTCTTTAAGTACGTAATAAATTTATTATTTTTAGAAAGTTAATTATTACATTATATATAAATATATGTACGTGTATATCTATGACTTTGAAGAAAAAAGGTAAAAGATTATTCCGCATACTCATTTCGTATTCCTATTCCATTATATGGAAATATATAAATTTTTCGGTATATATTTAATTTGGTAGCATGCTTAAGAATTTGTCAGAATATATATGTAGATATATATATATATATATAATTTTAACCTGTATTTAATTTAAATTACAATACAAATACCACATATCTGAATTGGAAAAGAGTTATGATTCTAAATCAAATTCAAATTATAGTTTTTAAAAATCTTTAATATGAGTTTGGATTTTGTGATTGTATTAAAAATTCTGGATTCACTTATATAATGTAAAATAATTCAATTGACGTTCACCCTCAATATCCGAATGTTAAAATGAGAATGCTTTTGTTATTATTAAAAAATATGTAAATAATTTATTATGAAAAATTATATATGTCATTCTCATATATATTATTTTCAATATAGATATTCAAAAGGACAATATAGTATTCTCATCACAGTTAAAAGTAATAAATTATACGATAGATATTATAAATTATATAATTTATAATATATATATTTTAAAAAAAATTATAATCTATCAAAAATGTAATAGATTGAAAGATCGATCATTCTCTTAAATAGATTATTTTCAAATTTTAATATTCAAAATAATAAATTATGTGAAAGAGGTTATAAACTGTTTAATTCGTCACGATCTATTATATTTTCAAAAAGAATTATAGTAGATTATTTACATATATAATATTCAACATATAAAACTTAGTAAATTAAAGATTGATCATTCTCTTAACTATGGCGAAATACTTTTAAATTCTATTATCTAAAAGGAAAATATAGTATACTCATCCCAATAAGGAATAATAAATTGCATGTGTAATAACATGTTAAAATGACGTGAGAGATTTCATTTAAGTCAGTGTTCATTAAAAAAAGATAATTCAATCAATTATTTTTAGTCAAATAAAAAGAATATCTTAGAAGCTCTATGTAAGATTATTTAATAAAGATTCTAAAAATTGCAGGTGTATTTATTTATACTAGTCTAAATTAGTTAAATTATATTCTCTCCATTATTACAAAATCCTAAAGGAGTAAGTAATTAAGACACAGTTAATTTAGATGTAGGAATACTTAAAAATTGTAACTGTCAAATTGAGTAGTCTATAAATATACTTCATTCTACTTCATCTTTGTTCAATCGGTCAAATCACAAATTAATCTTTATATTCGTGTTAAGTTTATCCATGGAGCCTCCTAGGAAGTCAAAGGGCCGCCAAAAGATTGAGATGGTGAAGATCAAGAAGGCGACGAATCTACAAGTTACCTTTGCCAAACGTCGGGCTGGCATTTTCAAGAAGGCGAGTGAAATTAGCACGCTTTGTGGCACTGAAGTTGCAGTGATTATTTTTTCACCTACCAAGAAAGTGTTCTCTTTTGGCAGTCCTTCCGTAGAAAAGTTGATCAATCGATTCAATGGCCTGATAGAACAACCTCCTTCAGCTAACAGACGTGTGATGGATATTCATCGAAATTCTTATCTCCAAGGGCTCAACTCACAGCT